CACCTGCCTGGCAGCCGGCGCCGGGGGGCCCCGTGGGGCCCGGGCTGGCAGCTCCCGCGCCGGCGCCGTCCCGCGCGCGGCGGCCGCCGTGGCCCGTCCCCCGGCGCTGCAGTGCCGGCCGCGCTGACATTGAGACGTGCCGCCCTTGGAGCGCGGCCGCTCGCGCGTGTTTGGGCTTGAGAGGTGGCTGCAGCGCCCGGTGGCTGCAGCGCCCGGTGGCTTCCCCTCGCGCTCGGCGCCCTCCTGCCCTTGGCTGCCTCGGGGAGGATGCTGCCGGGAAGGGACAGGGCTCCCGGCTTTCCGGAGGGGCTCAGTGCCGCGGCGCCGTCCCGGGAGCAGCTCCCTGCTCCGGCCCTGCAACAGGGGCCTCATTGTGCGCCCGGCGGCGGCTCGGCGGCCTCCTCGGCTCGCCCACGGCGCGGGCCTCGTGCCGCTGAGTCAGCCGGCGGCGCCTCCGCGCTGACCTCCGCTCCGCCTGGCGCCGGGGCCCGCGCTCGGCGCCGCCGCGGCCGCCCCGCTCCAGAGCCCCCCTCTCACGCTCAGCACCTTCTGCTTGCAGGGACTCGCCGCGGTGCCCTTCGGATCCGGGCTGGCGCCCGACGCCGCCGCCGCGCGGGCCCCGGAAGGGCTCCCCGAGCGCTTCGCCAGCCCCGCCGAGCGCCCGGCCCCCTCCTACGGCAGCATGGAAGAAGTGGACTAGGGCGGCGCGGGCACCGTGCGCCGGGCCGGCACCGCGGGGGGCACGGGTGGGCGGCGCGATGGGTCCTGCTCTCATTAAACTTGCTCAACTCCGCTCGTCTCGCTGCCTCATGCCGCAGGGGGTCATGTCCTCGTGTCCCCTGGTGTGGGGTGTCCTTAACCTGATGTCCCCCGTGTCCCCAGTGCTCCCTGGCTCCCTTGCTGGGTGCCCTGTGTGTGTGCCACAGTGCTGCACAGCTGTCCCCTGTGTCTCCCATTGTCCCCACTGTGCCCCAGTGCCCCTGAGTGTCCCCTATCCCTGCCATTGTCTGCGCTGGCCCCCATTGTGCCTGCTGTGCCCGGTGTCCCCCGGGTGTCCCTGGCCCCCATTGTCCCTGGTGTCCCCTGGGTGTCCCTGGCCCCCATTGTCCCCGCTGTGCCTGGTGTCCCCTGGGTGTCCCCGGCCCCCAGTGTCCCCATGGTGCCCGGTGCCCCCGTGTGTCCCTGGCCCCATTGTCCCTGCTGTGCCTGGTGTCCCTGGCCCCCATTGTCCCCATAGTGCCCGGTGTCCCCCGGGTGTCCCCGGCCCCATTGTCCCGGTGGTGCCCGGTGTCCCCCGGGTGTCCCCGGCCCCATTGTCCCGGCGGTGCCCGGTGTCCCCTGGGTGTCCCCGGCCCCCATTGTCCCCATAGTGCCCGGTGTCCCCCGGGTGTCCCTGGCCCCATTGTCCCCATTGTCCCCGGTGTCCCCCG